GAATTAAAATTGCTCATTGAGCTGCTAGTCTGTGGTTCGGTGGCTCTAATGAAAGGGTTGCCTTCGAAACGCTTAAGCCAAGACCCCGGCGAAATCCGTCTGTACTCCGCAGTGTGCCGATTCCAGGACCACTGGGCTGTAGACGAGTAGCTCAATGAGCGATTTTAATTCAAGTATTTGTAAGTATAATTTATGCTCGTTCTAAATAAATACTTTGGGCACTATACAATAGGCTGGTGCGCCCTCTACTTTTTTTTTTTTCTGTAGTGTGTTTTTGTATTCTGACGGCAGGAGGTTTCCCAGCAGAATACAGTGATCACTGCTGGCTTCTATAGCAAAAAAACTGACTGGCTGGTTGTGCTAAAGTCTACCAATAGGTGGATCAAAATTTGGCCGGTTTTTGCTGAACCAGAAGCATTTTGATCAGTCTGTGGCCAGCTTTATGATTTTGAACGTTTGGGATTACCAAGCTGCTTCTGCTGTGTAAGAAGACTGGGATAATCTGAACCTCAGGCTGCCAGATGTGCTCAGGTTCAAAGTACTTGCATAATGCAGCCTCTAAGTATTGCAATAAGTACTGGTGTTCAGGGAACTTGTGCTTTGAGGACTGTCAGATAATTTGTTCTCCCGGATGACTGTGCTTCCCAACAGTGGTACACCTGTGGTACTTCAAATTCAAGGGCTGTGTCAAGGCTGCATTGGTAGGGAATCGCCTGGATACTTGCCAAACTGCTGGAGGCTCTGAAATTTAACAGCGTGCCCCAGGTTTATCAGTAAGGCATAAATAGGTATAGATCGTCTCGCCTGTTCTGATTAACTATAGATTGCCCTCAGAGTGGCAGGTGAGGAGATAACTTGCTTTATTCCTAAACAATTCACCTGCACTACAGGGCCTAATGCTGTTCTACATTAACAACACTCGCAGTACTTTGATCTTTCTGAGCACCTTTGATTGTTGGAAAGATTGTCGCCTTCTAGGGTTCATAAATTGACCTGAAAATTTCCAATTACTGCAGAACTTGACTTGTAATTATTGATCCGTCTAAGGTTGATGGTTTAGCATTTAGTTGATACAAGTTAGAACTTTCAGAATGTATCTGATGTCAGTATGTAAAAACATTTTCAATTTCTCTGTTTGGGCCTGATGGTAGCCATAGACATAATGAACTCTGTCAGGCATCTTGCGTCGATGACCAACTTAATTATGCATTATACAAATTTTTCAGACTTTTAAGTGTAACTAGTGTTTTTTTCATTTAGCATGTAACATATTTTAGCTGTGTTTTTTAGTTCTTGAAAATGACAAAGCTTGTTCATCCAAAGCAGAGAACTGTGCTTTTCTGCATTTGAAAAACACAGGTCTCCAAAAGGACACAGTTATTTCCTGGACCATTGGGTTTTACTCCCAACTCATGATGGTTACACTAAGCCCAGTGCTTAACCTCACCCACTCCCAGGTTTGCAGAGAGAGAGGTCCATCACAGACTGACACTAGCAGAAAAAAAGTTTGCTTTGTAACATTACATGAAAGTGAACTTTTATCCTGCTGTTGAGTCTCTGTGGTTAAGAAGCTGCAGTTATCTGGATCGGTCCCTACATTTTTTTTTTTTTTTTTTCGTATTCCTGGAGGGGACTGTAACTTGAACCCAGTGTGAAGAACAGGGACAGCCTGTAAGCTGCTACTTGCACTGGATGACAGGCTCGCACATTTGCAGGTGGTTGCATGTGTGTGAATTAGCTGGTAGAGTGCTATACAGGGCCATGGTCTGCTGTGGCAAAGCCCAGTCCCTGAAGACCCTGTGGGGTATGCCTAACCTGCAGAGGTGTGGATTGAGCCATTAAGGTTCTGCTGGTTTCAGAATACGTTGCTACTTCTTGGGATCCTTTCGTGCTGGTTTCTACCATTTTTTCATCTGAGAGTAACCTTGGCAAGGTTGGAGTTTTTTTGCCTGCTGTACCTAGGAACTGCAGGGATCAGTCAGCTGGAGCCTCTGGAGGGCACTGTAGCAGTACTGTCAGGCTTTATTGGGCCTCCTTTCTATGGTAGCTTTAGGTTGCTTAAGTGCTAGGCATGTGTGTGCCGCCCAGCCTGTGGTGCTTGAGGGCCACCAGTGCTCTGCACAGGTGTGTCCTGGTACACACTGTGCATGCATGTCTCATATATGTATCCTACTGCACATGTGTGGCTCAGAACAGTGCACTGCAAATGTGAAGGCGCTTCTTTGAAATCCAGCCCTTTTTGGTCTGAGAACTGACCAGAGGATGTACACAAAGGCTGCCTATGGAGCACCTTTGTGTCCAAAGAGAAATTTTCTGCTGCCTTCTTCAACATGCTGGAACAATTAGCAGATATTCCCAATGATTTAAGGCAGAGCAACAGGAGCTACTGTCCCTACTAGGGTTGGTGGAGGATAGGGTCACAGAAAGCAAATACCTCTGACATAGAAGAATCTCTTGAGGAGCACACTCTGGCCTCCAGCATTTCCCAGACACTAAGGTCCACAGTAAGTTTGCTCAAGGAGGAGGTCCATAAAAATCTGAAGCTGTCCGGCCAGAACTTCATGTCCTAGAGTGGCAGGGTTAGGGTCGTGGAAAGCTCCCAAACTGTCAAAATCTTTTCCTATGCAGCCTGAGATTGAGAATCTGTACCCAAGCGGTTTGCAGAAAACTGATGAAAGACCGCTTATGCAAAAGTTGACTTGTTTGATTAAGACTCTTACAGTCCCAGTGCACAATGTACCAGTGTTTAAGGACCCGTTGGACAAAGTGTTTTGAGTCCATCCTTGAAGGAGGCCATACAACTCTTTGTATTCATGAGTGTTTGTAAAGCCTTGTTGATCTGTGTTAAGTGCATAAAGAAAACAAGGGGCCCTGAAATATACTTTTGTGCTAAACTGCACATAGACCTCTTTCTCAAAGCCTTATGCTTTATTATGCATTGGTTATGAGACTCTTGCCAACAACCAATTGCCTGGAATTTATTAGTCTATATGAGCCAAGTACTATGGTTACAATGCTGGTCAGCAGAGCTCCTCTGCAAGAAGCAGTTGGATTGTATGCCTTTAGAGGGAAAACGCATCTTTTATGTCTTGGGTAGGTTCATCTAAAAGATTACAAGAGGGAAGGGCACTCTTACCTCCTGAAGAAGCTGCAAAGCCTTTGGAGCAAAAACTGTTTTCGGCTGGTTCTAAAAGGGTTCCTTTCAGAGACTTGGGAGCTAAGCCGAAGAATTTCTGAAGAAATCTTGTAACTCCTAAGCCCTCTAGGCAACAAACCACCTCAATAGAGGGACACCCCCTCCCTTCCAGAAATGGGTGACTAGTAGCCTTTGCAGTTAAGAGGACCCAAGATTTCTCTAATGTATGGGTTCAAAATGGTGTGTCCAGAGACTACAAGCTGTAGAGTTTCATGTGGAAAATTGGCAAGCAGACTTCTTAAGCTGCAAACAGCTGGTTCCTCCTTCGCTGGAAGGGTTTTCACTCTTGTCTCCAGTGGGTAACATCAAACAGACTTTCTGGCATCCAGACTCTGGACTGGTGCGTGTCCAGGTTGATGTTCATGTCTAGTGTGCCCTGGTCTTGGTTGTAAGTTCCTCCAGGTGACACTGGATGGACTTTCTCAGTTCCATTTTGTTCCTGTTAGCCGTTATTTTGCTGTTGCTGACTTCTTGGTGGTTGAGGAATTAACTGTGTCCGCTAGTACTCTGATATTGGTTAGTGAAAAACCTAAGCAATGCTGGGAATGTTGGATGTACGAGCGCTAGGGTAACATAAAATGTTATGGTATACAGTCAGCCGCCAGCATATAAAAGAAATACCTGAATCCTCTAGTATATAGTGCAATAATTGAAAAGAATGCAGCGCTTCATATAAAAATAAGCATGACATAAAATGGAAATAAAAAGATAAAAAGTCTTAAAGTACAACGTGGCATTCGTGATTCCTTAGATGGTTATTTGAAATGACGTGACTTCCGTGGTTCATGAGAAGTGAGTATATAATGTACTAACCAGATAGCACATGTTAATGTGCGTTGGAGTGAATAAGACCTACTCCAAAGGTACTCTGGAAACCGGAACTCTGCAAATAGGTGATGTCGTCAGGTGGGGTAGAGTCACCAGATGTCATCCGACCAGCGCAGATATCCTCATTCCAGTATAATGCATTATTATCACATAAGGTGCATCGTGCGATATGGACTTCGTCCACCAGGGGGATCATGCACATGGGTGTACGTATCCTACCAAGGATCACCTTTAATACTGGAATGAGGATATCTGCGCTGGTCGGATGACATCTGGTGACTCTACCCCACCTGACGACATCACCTATTTGCAGAGTTCCGGTTTCCAGAGTACCTTTGGAGTAGGTCTTATTCACTCCAACGCACATTAACATGTGCTATCTGGTTAGTACATTATATACTCCTCATGAACCATGGAAGTCACGTCATTTCAAATAACCATCTAAGGAATCACGAATGCCACGTTGCACTTTTTAAGACTTTTTATCTTTTTATTTCCATTTTATGTCATGCTTATTTTTATATGAAGCGCTGCATTCTTTTCAATTAATGCTGGGAATGGGTGAGTTATGCAGGGCTGACTCCAGCGTTTGCTTTTTGCCTGTGTCCCATCAATTGAAGGTGGTGCATATAACCCAGTGGTCTAAATTACTTTTGTGTCCTACAGTGTTCTCCAGGAAGGATATTTTTACAGGTAAGTAAAAAAAAACTGACTCCCATGTTCCCTCTTTACATCACAATGTAGGAGAGGTGTGGGAAAATGAGCACATCGGCTTTTTTCCACATCCCAATTCTCCTGAAGTCTTCTGTGTTTCTTTGAACTGCAACTGAGCTTCTGTGCACAAAAAATGAATAAAATGTCATTTATGTAACGTTTCTATAAAGTTAAAAAGTAAACGATGCCTTACATTGTAAAATTGCAAGGTTACCCCACAGGTTAATGCAAGGCTATGTTGTGTCCCCCTCTCAATCTGCAGGTCACAACACGACATATCCACTCCTCCAGCGATGATGAGATAGAGTTTAAAGATCCAGGCTTCTCGCAAGATTCTTCCATACAGCAGGTTAGGCATAACTATAGTATCAACATATATTGTAAGGCTGTCTTATTTAAAAGGGTGTATTAGCAGATAGATTTTTCATGTGACCCTTGGCCTAAGTTCAACGCTGTTTTTTGTATGTGCTGTTTTACAGTAGCATTCGGTGTGGGGACAGTAACGCAGCACACTATCACCCACCAAGCATGAGCTATTTAAGTGTATGGGACTGTGCTGCAACCTCACGCAATGTATGTGGTCGTGGCATGGTAGTGCAGCATTTAGGGGGCTAAAACTAAAGTTGAGGTGAAATGTTGCCTCTGAAAAACAATACCACAGCAAATTGCTTTTCAGTGGGGCAGCAGTTCTTGCCACTAGTGTAAAGCAAGCCCTAAGAGTGGAGATTTACATTTCATCACAAATGCAAAAAAGTGTGTGTATGGTCGGTAATGGTAGTGCTGGGTCAAGCCTTGTTAGTTGAACATGCACAAGCTTATTTTATACTGTAATAAATAATTTCAAGAACTCCGGGAATATTCTATGAACATTTACATGGCTCCAGCTTGGTTACATGTGGTTATTTAATATGTCACATCCAGAAGACTGCAGGGGAGTCCCAAAATCCTGTTCCAGCAGTGCTGGGGAAATTTCTACTCTGGTTAGTGAACACAGGAAGTTGCTTGTTTGGCACTTCACCCTTTGTTTCAGTGAATACAAGGCATGCTTGGATAGGATGAGGATAGACTGATGTCCTCTGCCCCTTCTCTCTTCCTTGTCCAATCAAAACACCTCACATGCATTGAAAAGATTAAAACACTTTTTCTCGATGGCAGAGGTGCCAAGCGTGCAGCTCCCTGTGTTCAGCTTACCAGATGGAGAAGTCGCTCCTGCACCACCATCTTAGGAAGTGCTTCCTGTTGTGTGGCACAGTCTACGATGGTGATTTTGAGGCTCCCCCTGTAGCCCTCCTTAGGATGTGACTTATCAAAAGGTGGCCGAATGTAGATTTTTTAAAATAGAATACTTCTAGGAGTTCAAGTTTTTAAATTATGTTGGTACCGAGTGATAGAAAAACTTAAGAGCACAAGGTTCTTCTGTCCCATTCATGTACAATTTTAAATGAGACTTTTTGAGATCTAAAAGAGCTGCTTGTTGCCACCAAGTCTTGTGAATGTGGTGCAAGCCGCACTGATTTGCTTCATCACACAATTAAAGTGTTACTAAACCCACAGCAGTAAAGTCAGTCTGTATATGCAATAAATCATGCTTGTTCTACTCACTCTGGAACCTAAGGGGTTAATCTGCATTGTGTAAAAATGCTGTTTGATCCTGACTTCTCTGATCCTCCCCTTCCAGTGCCCCTCTTATCTCCTGATGAGACATATCGTGTGGAGACCTTCTGTACATGCTCAGTTTGGTGTGTTGCTAGAAAGTTTTTTTTTTTTTTTTTTTTGTTTTTTTTTCTTGGGAGAGTGCATGTGATCAGCACAGGGCCAATCAGCCCTGTCGAGACAGGTCAGGGGTCCTGCATCATCCTAGAGCACAATGAAAAGTCCTCCCACAAGCTTTAACATGTAACTGCTGAACAGTGATAGAAGTCACAAGACTGCTCGAACTGCTGATGAGAAAAGGTATTTAGCAGTTTATATTTACTAAACTAATTGCACTTCCATGTTCTGTGTACTGAGATCAGATAGTGAATGCAGGGTCCTGGGTTTAGTAACACTTTAATCACAAGGCTGTTTTCATTGCAGCACACCCTAAAGTCATTGCAAAGATGTGTGTTTTTTTTTGTTTTTTGTTTTTTTACCTTTAATCGATTCTCTGCATTAGGGTAAAAAAAAAAATATATATAATCGGCCCCCCCCTAAATTTATTTACTTGAGCCCAATCTCAATGCAGTTTTGTACACAAGAGCAGCATAAGCACTCAGGAGGAGAAACCTACAGTGCCAACAGGGAATCCCTGAAGAGGTTTAGGGCTGCACTGTGCAAAAGCATTGCACAGAGCAAGTAGTATAGCATGTTAAGAGAAGCATTTTATCATTTACAATCACTTTTATTAAAAAATGTCATTAACGGTGCTTTAGTTTATGGATCATGTGCTGAGTATTGAAGTGGTGTTTTTTTTTTTTTTTTTTTTTTTTTTTTTTTTTCTTTACCTTAATGCAGAGAATTGCATTAAGGTAAAAAAAACCTTCAGCCTGTAAGCCTGGCACACACTAGTAGAGCTCAGGAGGACCCACTGTACTAACTATCTGATGTTAGAACAGGGATTTCCCCCACTGAGGTATTGTGTTCTGACAGTGGGCCAGCCCCCCTGGTCAGCGCTCTCAGCCATTGGTTGAGTGTGCTTATCGGGAGCCAGTTGGCAGCCCTTTTTTGGTCATGCCCCTTCGACAGAAACCAGCCACCGTACACAAGGGCCGAATGTTGGCTGTTTTTTATTGAACAGGTTTATGCCGCCCGACATTCAGTCAGTCTGTACTAGGCTTTACAACCACTTTAATTTAAAAAAAAAAAAAGGTAAAACTATAAATTTAAGCTTAAAGGATAAGTTCACCTTTTAACAAAAAAAAAATAATAAATCCTTTTTTTGCATTTTGTTTTTTTTCTGGAGACTCTAAAGCATTACACCAGCGATCAGCATATCACTGGTGCCATGCAGGCCTCACTCTGACCTGTACTGTATCTGCTTGTTTGTACATCCCATATGGGCAAGCAGATACTGACAGGAAGGCTCAATTAATCCAAAGGCTGTCGGAACTTGTAGTGTTCTCATTCACAAAACACTGTGAATGACTGATGCGGCTGGCCGAGTGGAGCCCTGCACGGGTGCATTTTTAATTTTTTTTTTTTATTTTTTTTTTTTAAATTGTGACCGCTATCAGGGAGGATGTAACATGTTACGAATGGGGAGCTTATCCTTTTAAACCTGTTAAGTGTGTGTGTGTGGGGGGGGGGGAGATAATATGAAACAGTGAATTATTAGACCTTTCCTAGCCTGCCACTGGCTTTATGAAAGAGCATAATCACGTTTGGCTGGATTTTTTTTTTTTTTTTTTTCATATCTTAGCCAATATGCTGTGGCTCACCTTTGCTAAATGCTACTTATGTAAAAACATTAATCCTTCAGGTATTGCATATGTAATAGAAGACACTTCCACCAGTGTAGAAGCATCCTTTACAAAGTTATTTTCAGGAGCAGTTTAGAATACATGTTATACCACTGTTGTTGGTCCTGGGATTGCCAGGCCTTTTCTGATTATCAGATGCAACAAATGACGTCCAATTTTATTGACCAGTTTGGCTTCAACGATGAGAAGTTTGCTGACCAAGATGACCTTGGGAAGTGAGTATGACTCCTTATTGTGGTTTAACATTTTACTGTTTGTGTCTGCTGGTGATTTTTCTAAATACACTTAGTCTTTCATTCTGTTTTTAAATCTGTTGCGATCACCGCTCAATAACCTATCAATTAGCTTGTGTGAATTGGGCTTTCACGCAAAACCTAATTTTGTGGAACAGATCTGTTAACTGTAATTATGGACGTGATGCTACTAAAATCGCTTTCCTCTTTGGATTCTTTTCTGTTTTCTGGCGTTGGTGGTGGGTAGTACCTAATGTCAAAAAGGTCACCAAGTGGGTGGCCAGTATTTCAAGTATCACATGAACATTACACAAATTATTTTGGTGTTGTACTGGTCAGTTTTTTTTTTTTTTTTTTTCATGATTGTGTACAGTCTAAACGGGGTGTGTGTTTTTTTGTTTTTTTTTTTTTTTCTGGTGGGTTTTTTTTATTTATTTTTGTACGCAAAGTATTTCCACTTTTTCAGCCCATTAGGTCATTACATCTACTGCCTACCACACTTGGCTGTGCAGCAGCATGTACGACTCCATTAATTAAATGGCAATGTGCATGCTGCACCTAATCTCTTCCCCATCCCAGGTTTTGCAGTACCAGTACTGCTGCTTTGTGTGTCTGACTTTTTTTTCTTGACGAAAAACTGATACTTTTTCAGTTTTTCCTGTCTCTTCACTTTCCTCAGAGTTAGCGCTGTAGCTGGCTGTTCTGTACCATAGCACAATATGTGCTTTAACTGTTGGCTGTTAATATTTTTATGCATAAATTTTGTCATTTTACAGTGTCTCATTTGATCGTGTCTCGGACATTAACTTCACTCTCAACGCAAATGAAAGCGTGAGTATTGAAAAAATTGCTGCATTCTGGTACTTTTGTGTTCATGTTTTGTGCATGTTGGTGTTTTTTGTTTAACTTTTCTTGGTTTGTTAAAACATATTTATGTCTGTGATGAGGACACATAGCAAAATGCCAAAATTTCCACTGTCCTTCAGGGTTTAGTTTCACTGTGGTTTTAGACCCGAGTCATACCTCTACTATTGGTAACGTATGCTTAATTAAGGCGGCATATTCATTTGAACGGGCCACCAACAGACCAGAAAATGCACCTGCACTATATTTCTCAAGACACTGCACTACAATGCTTTGTATTTTAATGTCCATTTTAACCCACATGCATCCATTTAGTACACTGGAATGCCATATAAAATAAACCACAATGTAAAGAACATGCATGGTGCCTTGCAGTAATGCAAATACGTGTCTGTGTATGTGCAAGTGGTCTCGATGGCCAACAACCTGTCTAACCATCTCCAGTAGTGTCCGTTTTTCTCTGAAGCTACATTGAGACTTCCCTTGTTGCTGTAGGTTGCTTCCCCAGGCATCCCTCTCTTCCTCGACAGGGCAGCAGTGCAAAATACAGCTTGTACTAAGTATACATGTATGCCTAAACAAAGCAGCACTTGTATACTTTATTCCTCTGTCATCTAATAGCTTCCCAATCTATTTAAAATTAACATTTCTAACTATGTGGTGTTTTTTGTTTAGGCCAACATCGCGTTGTTTGAAGCTTGCTGCAAAGAAAGGATACAGCAGTTTGATGATGGCGGATCAGATGAGGAAGATATTTGGGAAGAGAAGAATCTTGCATTCACACAGGATACTCAGAGAAGATCCAGGTGCTTAACTGTGTGCACCATTCATGGTGGTCTTGCAGAGCTTTAGGCTTTGTTTTATACCCTTAATCGTGAAAAGATTGCATAGAAATGCTTATAATTGGCAGCCAATTTGCAATTTATGGGGTTAGGAAGGTTTTTGTCATAGTTACATAGACAAACGTCCATCCAGTTCAAACTCAAAAAAAGTTATAATCCTATACCCACAATTGATCCAGAGGAATTAAAAAGAAAAAACCCAGCAACGCATGATCCAATTTTCTTCTGCAGGGGAGAAAATTCCTTCCTGATCCCCCGAGAGGCAATCTGATATTCCCTGGATCAACTTTTACCTAAAATGTTAGTATCCATATATTCTGTGTATCTAAGAAAGAGTCCAGTCCTTTTTTTTAAAGCAACCCACTGAGCTGGCCAGAACCAACTCTTGAGGGAGTCTATTCCACATTTTCTCAGCTCTCACTGTGAAGAAACCTTTCCAGATTTGTGGATTAGATCTGTTTTCCTCCAGACGTAAAGAGTGCCCCCTTGTCCTCTGTGATGACCTCAGGGTGAATAGCTCTACACTGAGTTCACTATATGAACCACTGATGTATTTATACATGTTGATCATATCCCCCCTTTATCTCCTCTTCTCAAGAGAGAATAAATTCAGTTCCTCTAATCTTTCCTCATATCTGATCTCCTCCATGCCTCTTATCAGTTTGGTTGCCCTTCTCTGTACTTTTTCCAGTTCCCCAATGTTTTTTGTGAATTGGTGCCCAAAACTGAACTGCATATTCCAGATGAGGTGTTACTAATGATTTGTACCGGGGTAATATGATATCTCTCTCTCTCTGGAGTCTATACCTCTTTTAATACAAGAGAGGATTTTGCTCGCTTTAGAAACCGCAGCTTGGCATTGCATGCCATTATTAAGCTAGTGATCTACCAGAACTCCCAGATCCTTCTCCACCATTGATTCCCCCAGTTGTACTCCCCCTAGTATGTATGATGCATGCATATTCTTAGCCCCCAAGTGCATAACCTTACATTTATCAACATTAAATCTCTCTTGCCACATAGTTGCCCAATTAAACAGTGCATTGAGGTTGGCTTGCAAATTGGAGACATCCTGTAAGGACGTTATTCCACTGCACAGCTTGGTGTCCTCTGCAAAGAATGAAATGGGATTTTTAATCCCAAAACCTATATCGTTCATAGATATATTAAAAAGTAAGGGTCCCAACACTGAACCTTTGGGGTACACCACTGATGACCGCAGACCACTCAGAGTATGAATCATTAACCACTACTCTTTGAATACAATTTAACCTGTTTTCTATCCATTTTTACATACAGATTTTTCCAAGCCTGTAGATTTTACCTTACACATTAGCCATGTGGGGGATTTTGCAAAAGCGTTTGGCACAGTTCAAGTATAGCACGTCCACAGCCACCCCTCTGTCAGAGGTTTTGCTCACCTCATAAAAAGAAATCATTTTTGTTAACTTCTGTCTTTCACGAATTCATGCTGTATCTTCCCAACTATAGAAGTTACAGGTCTATAATTACTCGGTAAAGATTTTGATCTTTTTAAATTGGCCTTACGCCAGTCCAGTGGTACCATACCCGTCATTAACCACTTACCCTCCTGAGGATTTACCCCCTTTCTGACCAGGCCTTTTTTTTGGGTTGCAACGCAGTGTAAAAAAAAAAAAGACCGACAATTTTGAGAAAAAACCTATATTTCTGACTTTTTGCTAATAAACATGTCCAGTAATGTAAAAAGATCAAATTTCACCATAAATTTAGGCCAAAATGTATTCTGCTACGTGTCTGCTAAAAAAAAAAAAAAAAAAAAATCCCAATGTGTAAATTGGTTTGTGAGAAAGTTATAGCGTTTACAAATGGCGGTATATACTGTGAAGGAAATAAGTATTTGATCCCCTGCTGATTTTGAATGTTTGCCCACTCACAAAGAAATGATCAGTCTAAAAATCGAATGGTAGGTGTATTGTAACACTGAGAGACAGAATAGCAACAAAAAAATTCTAAAATGCATGTCTAACAAATTATGCACCGATTTGCGTGTTCATGAGGGAGATACGTGTTTGATCCCCTATCATTCAGCAGGATTTTTGGCTACCAGGCGTTTTTCACACAGGTAACAAGCTGAGATTAGAAGCAGGCTCTTAAAGATTGAGATTAGAAACAGTAAAGGTAGTGCTGCTAATTTCATTTTGTTACCTGTATAAAAGACACCTGTCCACAGGAGCAATCAAACAATCAGATTCCAAGCTCTCCACCATGGCAAAGAGCTGTCCAAGGATATTGGGGACAAGATTGTAGACCTACACAAAGCTGGACTGGACTACCAAACTATCGCCAAGTAACTTGGTGAGAAGGTGACAACAGTTGGTGCAATCAGATTCCAAACTCTCCACCATGGCAAAGACCAAAGAGCTGTCCAAGGATGTCAGGGACAAGATTGTAGACCTACACAAGGCTGGATGGGCTACAAAACTATCACCAAGCAGCTTGGTGAGAAGGTGACAAAAGTGGTGCAATCATTCGCGAAAAGAAGAAACCCAAAACAACGGTTAGTCTCCCTAGGTCTGGTGCACCATGCAAGATCTCACCTTGTGGAGTGTCAATGATCATGAGAACAGTGAGGAATCATCCCAGAACTACACGTGAGGATCTTGTCAATGAACTCCAGGCAGCTGGGACCACAGTCACCAAGAAAACAATTGGTAACACTACGCCGACAAGGATTGAAATCCTGCAATACCCACAAGGTCCCACTGCTCAAGAAAGCACATGTCCAGGCCCGTCTGAAGTTTGCCATTGAACATCTGAATGATGCAGAGGAGGACTGGTTGAAAGTGTTGTGGTCAGATGAGACCAAAATCAAGCTCTTTGGCATCAACTCAACTCGCCGTGTTTGGAGGAGAAATGCTGTCTATGACCCCCAAGAACACCATCCCTACTGTCAAGCATGGTGGTGGAAACATTCTGTTTTGGGGGTGTTTTTCTGCTCAGGAGACAGGATATCTGCACTGCATCAAAGGGACGATGGACAGGGCAATGTACCGTCAAATCTTGGGTGAGAACCTTCCTCCCTCAGCCAGGGCATTGAAAATGGGTCATGGATGGGTGTTCCAGCATGACAATGACCAAAAACACACGGCCAAGGGAGCAAAGGAGTAGCTCAAGAAGAAGCACATTAGGAGTGGCCTAGCCAGTTTCCAGACCTTAATCCAATTGCAAATCTGTGGAGGAAGCTGAAAGTTCGAGATACCAAACGTCAGCCACCAACCCTTAATGACTTGGAGAGGATCTGCCAAGAGGAGTGGGCCAAAATCCCTCCTGAGAGGTGTACAAACCTGGGGGCCAATTACAGGAAACGTCTGACCTCTGTAATTGCCAACAAGGGATTTGCCACCAAGTACGAAGTCCTGTTTTTTGTGAAGGACCTCAAATACTTATTTCCATCATGAACATGCAAATCAGTGCATAATTTGTTAGACATGCATTTCTTTTGAAATTAATGTTGCTATTCTGTTACAATACACCTACCATTCAATTTTTAGACTGCATTTCTTTGTGAGTGGGAAACATTCAAAATCAGCAGGGGATCAAATATTTATTTCTTCACTGTACACTGGAATTTTTTTTTTTTAATCTAGTAATGGCGATGATCAGCGACTTATACCAAGACTGTGGTGGTATTCTGACATGGGGGGGGGGGGGGGGGGGGGGACTTGGTGTCACTGAAACAGTGATCAGTTCTAGAAAAAAAAAGCACTAACACTGTACTAATGGCACTGAGCAGGAAGGAGTTAACATGAGGGGCGATCAAAGGGTTAACTGTGTGCTGGGAGTGGTTTTACTAGTGGGCCGTGTCGGTGACACTGCTCTGGATGTGTCCGAGCAGTGTGTCCGAGCCGACAGGGAGGACGACTGTTAGTAAACAAAGCAGCCGCCCTCCCCGTTTGAACATCATCAGCCAGGACCCAGTGACTGACGGCAGCACGGGTAGGGCGCGCGTACGCGCCCCCTACCTGGAAATGCAAAATCGCGCGCGTATGTGATGTGATTTTGTGCACCCCTGCTGCCCTGTAGCAGTATATTTGCTATAGGGCGGAGGGGAAGCTGTTACACAGTCCCAAAAAATTAGAAACAAGGACTTTTAAATAACAGAGTTCAATTCTTTAAGGACCCATGGGTGTATGCCATGCAGTCCAGGTGCTTTATTCACTTTTTATTCTGTCTAAATATTTCTGGATCATATCAATAGTGAGCCAATCTGGATAATTTGGGGCTGTGTCAATACCATGCCCATTATGGACAAGAGCTCTCCCCCATGCTCCTTGGTATACACAGAGCTGAAGAAGGTATTTAATCAATTTGCCTTCTCTTTGTCCCCAGTCACCCACTCTAGATTATTTTGTAAAGGGCCTACATGCTCAGACTGGACCTTTTTATCAATTATATAGTTGAAGAATCTTTGGAGGTTTGTCCTATCTTTTGCAATCTGTCGTTCGTTTTAAATTTTTGCGGCCTTGATTTCCTTTTTACATTTTGTTATATTCTTTGTAATGTTTGAACAATGATAGTGTTCCTTCATTTTTATATTTAATAAAGGCTCTTTTCTTATTTAGAGCCTTTTTTTTTTTTTTTTACTTTTGTCCGTAAGCCACATAAGTTTGATTTTTAGCCTTTTAAACTTGTTGCCCATGGGAATATATTTAGCAGTGTTCACATAAATCTTCTTGTTGGACTCCCATTTCTGTGTTGTGTTCGATGCCAATATTCCCTCCCTGTCTTAGAGAGCAGCTCTCAGCCTTGGAAAATTAGCTCTCAAAGTTGAGCATTTTTTTTATTTTTCGTGTGTGTGTGTTTACAGCTAACAAATGAAATCATGTTATGGTCACTGGTACCCATATGTTTCTATATGGACATTAGTAATACGCTGTGCATGGGTTGAGATGGCCAGCATTCCTGTGATTTTGAGATTTAATGTTCTGTATTTTAAAGTGGATCTACACTATACCTGAACACAAAGCAAAGACACCATTTCGTTTTTAGTATTCAAAGCAAACTCACCCGTCCATACATGTCTCCATGCTTTATTTTGCTGAGAAATCACTTTGGAAAACACTCCCTAGTATTTCTGGCCATGGCCATCTGGAGTAAGTGCAGCTGATTCATGTATCTTTTTCTTCAACCATCCATCTGCCCTTGGCTCAGGCATTGCGGCAGGAGGGTGTGCTTAGCTGAGAGAGGCCCTCCTGAAGACTCTTGGGATGTAGGACATCATTTGCCTAGGCATGGAAACCAGGAAGTAACTGAAGAATTGGATAAAAATTTAATATAATATACCTTCCTATCTAGTTGCCAATGCTAGCAGTATACGGATTAAAACTGCTGATTGAGAGAGTGAAGTTCCACTTGAAGGGTGCTTTCACACTGATCCATTTCTTCCCTCTGCTTTTGTTTACAAAAAGCGAATGAAAAACACATTAGCATGTATTCCTGTGGAACTCTTCACACTGATCCGTCGCGAGTCTGGTGCATATTTTATAATCCTGCTTGCTGCATTTTTGGTGTGGTTAAAAAAAAAAACAAAAAAAAATGCACCGAAGTGCACCTCCCTATTGGAAATCGGTGGAAAACGCTGCAAAAATGCATCAACATACCTGCGTTGAACTTTTGGTATGGTTTTTGAAATCACATGGCCTGTAAAAAGTGCACCGCAAAAGTGGTAAAAAAATGGTACACGCTTTACTTAAAGGATGGGTGTACTTTTTTTTTTTTTTCTTTTTTTCCCCACATTTTCACCTTCCTCTAGTGGCCATAAACAATGTACCACTTAAAACACACAATAGATCTAATGTTAAACTAATTTACAGTGGGTTGTGTTTTATTTTTTGTTTTTTTCTTTGTTTGGACAAGTGAATTTTATGTGCAATGAAATTCTGTGCCATGTTCTGAAAAATTTTACTGTCCGTAGTCTGCGTAGTGCTTTTGAATGTCTGACATTTTTTTTCCCTTTAGCTATAGCATAGCTAAATGTTTTGTAAAGAGAAACCAGGATGTTCAGTTATTTAGCATTGCCTAAAATGTGCATATTGAAGGTGATCATTGTAGGGTACAGGTATAATTGTATAAATATTTTGTTTAGTGTCTTGTTTTTTGCATCCTGGCCTTTCTCAACATATATTTTAATACAGCTCAGGAAGCACAGACAGCGAAGAGAGTACAGATTCTGAAGAAGAAGACTCTGTTAAACAGGGATTATTTGAATCAAGCACAGTCAACCAAGAAGATAAAATGGAGGTGGATGCTAATGAAGGCAGGTCTTCATAAATTTACAGTTTTGAATGTTAGACATGTTTTTTTTTTGTTTTGTTTTTTTCCCATCATTTAATTAGTTTTTAATGTTTTGTAATCTAAAACTGAGAAAATGGTTCTAAAGCCTTAAGTTTTTTCACCTTGATGCATTTTATGCAGCAGCGGCTCTCGCCGCTGTCTCCTTCCCTAGACAAATTGATGGCAGCGTGAGCTATTGACTCCTGCTGCTGTCAGTCAAATGCTGGGCTGAGCCTCCCACACTATCCCAATAGACGCAGACAAGGTAGCTCAGGAGTGGGCCTGTATGGTTGCCCCCATGGAAAGTGGCTTTCCTTGGGGGGCACTCGTCAAAGAGGAGTCTGGAGCCCTGTCGGTGGACCCAAGGGCTGCTCTGTGCAAAAACCATTACACAGAGCAGGTAAGTATAATTGGTTTGTTATTTTAATAAAACAAAAAAAGGAAGCTTTAATGTCTTTTTAAATGTAGACTTCACTTGAAAATTAGAACTTATTGCTGTATGGCACCAATCTAGCCTGTATTTTGGTTCAGGGATTACACTGTGGTGCATTAGACTATTTTAGCCCCATTCACATCTACACATGTTTTGTTCATGTTTACGAAACGTGGTTAAAAAAAGGCATGTCATGTTTGCGGTGTCATTGTTACTGGTGCCACAGATGTGCGCTTTGCCACATGCAAAAACATGAAACAAACACCCAAAAATGTGCAAAATTAAACATGGCAGAAAGCTACTTGGACTACTTACTGCATTTGTTGCAGGTAGGTTAGTCCATTGAAATAGGCTTCCTTAAGCTAGTCACGTGAAAATTGCACTTCTGGCAAACGCTGACTGTGAGTGCAACCTTAACCCCAGTTTATAAACCCTGCTCCTTGCTCTCACATGCTTGGAACCTGATCAGTATAGGGTTTACATTTGTAGTAGAAGTTTGTGTTGGATACTGGTGATAAGAGAAGCAGAGAGATGGAGGATGTAACACTACCAACTTCAGAAAAATGCACTTCAATAAACCTATGATGTGCTCTGTGGATTATTGGTAAAGGGAACTCTGATTTTTAGGTAGGTTCAGTTAACTAGTTTTGGCAGAACTGCAGTGGTTGCTGGATAGCATTAGTACCATGTTAAGGTTTAACTTGTTGGCTTTAATTGCTCTTCAAGTTTTGGTTTCTTCACCGGAATCTGCTTCTATAGCAGCCGCAACAAAAGTTTGTCATTACATAGAATGCTGCAGAAGAGTGATGTAGTTTTGATTTTATAGGTTGTAGGGGGGACTGATCAGTGGGGGCTATTTGTGTTATCAAAATCCTGATCAATGGCTTATAAGAGAATCACTAGAGCTCGTTTTTCAAGATTATTACACCATAGCTGTGCAAGCTATACAGCCACTTTAGTAGTTTAATGTTTTTGTAAATGTATTTTTTCTTCTGCCTGTAGCTTAACTGAAGAAAGTCATTTAGACCTCTATGCAAAAATAGCTCTGATTGGTGTCTTTTGCTTGAACATATTCCATCACTATCTGTTTCTATTTATTTTAGCAAGCAACTGGCCAGCAAACTTTGATATCCCAATGGAAACTGCACATGTAGCCAGTTTAGATTCAGTGGGATCAGATGTGTGGAGCACAGAAGAGCCATTGTCTACAAAAGAAACAGGCTGGGCCTCATTTGCTGAATTCACATCCTCGGTTAGGTAATTATGTTTTACAGTTGCTGTATTCCCTTCTTAAAGGGTAATTTATTTCCTGCTGTTAAACAATAGCTAAAACTGTCTCCTTTAGAGGAATGCAGCATTTTTCTGCTTTATTGAAGGACACCTGTCATAAGAGAAGCACCAAGGCTGCCATTGCTGACCTCTCCCAAATATGTGTGCTGTAGGTTGACTCCTTTCCTAATGGATACTGAATTCAATCCAGAACAATTAGGCATTTCTGCAGTCACTTAGAGGCTTCAGACGTGTTTTTTTTTTTTTTTTTTTTTTTTTTTTTTTTTTTTTTTTTTTTTTCCCCAAACACACCTTCATTGTATCCTATGTATCCACGAACACATACTTTTAGAAGCTTTTAGTGTCTGGGGCTTTTAGGAGCTGTAAACAAAAAACAAAAAAACCATTGCCAATGCACCCGGGAGCAGCAGTGTTGTGGCAAGAAAAAACTCTTGGCACATGTAAATGTGCCTGAACGTGTGTTAACGCTGTGTGCATTTAGCGCTTGAGCATTAATTTCAATGGCCAGAATAAATTATTTTTCTGTCCAATAAATTTAAATTAACACCCCGGCGCTTGACGCCTGTAAATACACCTAAATGCTTGTATAAGCGTTACACTTTTAAAAGTGTTTTTTTCTGCCAAGGGAAGAGGCATTTTTTTAATACGTCCTGTGTGCATGAGGCCTTATTCAGATATGAGGTTCTGATATATTTAAACTTTCCCAGTGTGCAAGGGTTTTTCAATAGTATTGCAGCCAACCAACCAGTATTTACATTAAAATATTTACCCTTAATGAACAGTTTTCATCTAATCTCCCTGCTCCTTGACATATGTAAATGTATTCATACTCTGTAATGCTATATCGGTGTGTTGCAAACAGTCCTCTATTCCTAAAGGTGCTAGAGTTGTTTAGTTTACTTTTGTAATCCTTGGCAAACCTACAATCCTCTATAATTTTGCTTTATCAAGTAGATATAAAAATAGTTGAAAACCTGTAGAGTAATGGAATTGTTCTTTTGATAGCGCAAAGGACACAGCAAGAAGTAATTCTCCAGTTGAAATGGAAACCAGCACAGAGCCAATGGATCCTCTGAGTGTCAATACCTCTGCACAAACTGAAAGTAAGTGATGCATTTTGATCTTTAAAATTACAAGTTCACAATTGTAGCAAATACTGGCCTAGTTCCCCTCCCTAGCATCATTAACTAGCCCCCTCCATCCCCCATGATGCATTCTTCCTCCTCTGACAAAAGCAGTCTGTTGTATTTTCTATAGCATGCCCAGTGCATATCTAGTGCTAGACATGCCATGTCTTTGCTTTGATGTCTCATAAACTTAACCACTTTCACGTCGCCCTATAGCAGAAATGCTGCTAAGGGGTGTATAAAATCACGTGTGTGTGTGTGTGTGTGTGTGTGTGTGTGTGTGTGTGTGTATATATGTATGTGTGTATATGTGTATATGTGTGTGTGTGTGTGTGTATGTGTATATGTATATATGTATATATATATATATATATGTGATTTTGCATTCCCGGGTAGTGGGCGTGCTTGCCCCACCTGCGCCGCTATTCGTGATCTCGGCTGTCAATCAGCGGGTCCCGGCTGGTGATTGCTCGCCAGCACTCGGTGATCGCAGGTTATTACCGACAGGGGAGAGAACTGCATGTAAATACAGTTCTTTCCCCTGTTGGCTCCTGCACACTGCTTTGTCAGAGCCATACGAAGCAGTGTGCTTACAGTGGAAAGCGCGCACACACTAAAACACCCACAGCACACAGGTAACCCTTTGATCGCCCCAGTCCTGCAGTCCCGCTATAAGTCGCTGATCGCCGACATTACTAGTACAAAAAAAAAAAAAATTCCAGTATATATACCGCCATTTGTAAACGCTATAGCTTTCACGTAAACCAATTAATTGGCAAAGACATGTAACAGAATACATTTTGTCCTAAATTTAGGACGAAATGTTTAATTTTTTTACTGGACATGTTTAATAGCAAAAAGTCAAATTATTGCTTTTTTTTTTTCTCAAAATTGTTGGTCTTTTTTTGTGTATAGCGCAAAAAAAATAAAAACTGCAGAGGCAATCAAATGCCACTGAAAGAAAGCTCTATTTGTGGGGGAGAAAAAGGACGAAAATCATTTAGGTGCAGGATTGTATGACTGCGCAATTGTCAGTTAAAATAACGCAGCGCCGTCACGCAAAAAAATGGCCTGGTCTGGAAGGGGAGTAAATCCTCTGGAGGGCAAGTGGTTAAAGGAACAGACTGTACTGGAGAAGTAATATCCTCTTCAGATTTGTAGGAAGTTTGTGTATAGGCATGGCCATCCAAGCATATTAAATGTTTTACCTGATGGGTTGTAAATAATTTCTTAGGATGCACAGTGCTTCAGTGTTGAGGATTCCCTGGGAAATGTAGGGTCGCCTGCTTAGCTTAGTTAGGGTTCTGATAAAGTTGTATAACTGGGTTTACCTGTTGACACATGCCCATTTTAGGCTGCTTTATAGAGGCAAGCAATTCCTCTTGGTAAACACATACTAAAAGTTACTGTTATTCTAAGTCTCCTGGGCTGCACTGATTCAGGCCAAAAATTCCCCTGCAGTGTTGCTATGTTGGTTGTGATGCTTTGCTGCAAGGTGGTGGATCATGTGCTGCTGCTGTATATTTTGTTCCACTCCATTACCCTTCTGTTCGTGCACTTCTGTTCTGTGTTTTTTTCAGCTCTGTCCCTTTTCTTGCAGTACCTGCAGTGCAGTAGGGATTCAGGTTGGACAGTCAGCATTAGAAGCAGCTCAGACAGAATGGGTTTCCGGATTACAACCAGAATGAAATACAGGGATGTAGTGTAAAATGAATGCCCTTGTATTTCATTAAATCATCTGATAAAAAATGTGGCACATATTATGAAGCAGCTTTGCTTTAATTGTCTAACTTTTAGGATCGTAAATAGTGGCTTCCTTTATTTTTACCTGGTGATCTGGCCAGCGAGTGTTTTTTCAACAGAACAAGGTGTCCTGCAGATTTAGCAGTTAGAGGGCTGAGACAAACCATTTACTACTGACGGGTGATTACAGTGATTAGCTTTTAGTTAATGTAAAACCTTTTTTCCCAAAAGAAAAAGTTACTGCAAATGCTTATAAAGTGTGAGCTGGTGTTTGGCTTCAATTCGTTAGATGTACTAGCAGATTTAAATACATTGACACTCCCGTCCTCCCCAGATTAACAATGCTGCGGTCCAAAGGAGTCTTTTGCTCCAACATCCAGAGTGTAGGCACCCTAATGCAGGAAGTGTTACTGACCAAGTCACCAGGTGAAAAATCTAAAAGAAAACGGATGCAGCCACCACATCTAATGATTGGTAAGCTGCAATATATAAAATTTTTGGTTTTGGGATTAATACCACTTTAAACCGAGAGTTTTTTGTTTCAGTTAAACACACACATTTTATCTTTAACTAGTTCCCACCCAGCCTATAATAAAATGACAGCTGGGAGGGATTATCCCTGATCCGGGTGGACATCCTAGGACATCCTCCCGGATCGCCACTATGCTGTGGCGAGATGGGTCACTGGCTGTGTCCATCACACTATGATTGATCTGTGTATCAGCCTATTGCCGGTTCCATGTAACTGCTGTGTCCAATCACAGCAGGTCACATCACATTTGTAAATAATGGATGGCTTCCTTTCATGCCATCCATTGTATACAATTGTGTTGCTAACTGTGATTGGTCACAGTAATCACATGGTACAGATTGGGCCAATCACAGCCCATGTGTGCCATGTGATTAGCTGTGGCCAATCACAGGACAAACTGAATCAATTTTCATTCGGTAAAATGTTTGCTTATAGCAATACAATTTATTGCTGTAAGCAATCATAGTGTGTAAATAAATCTCTCTGGGAATTTAGATTCTGAAATGAGAGCACTATTTTATTACAGTGATATTGAGAATGCAGAATTTGTTGCATTGTTTCCAGTTACTGTTGCAATGGATGCCAGCTCTGATGGAGAAGAGGAAGTAGAAAACTCTGATCAGATGACGGAAACTGTGATGAATGGAAGCATGAAGGAAACCCTCAGCCTTACCGTAGATGCAAAAACAGAGACTGCAGTTTTTAAAAGGTAAAATGGCTTTTATTGGAACTTCAATGATTATGAATCATTTTTTACTTTCAATGTATTTTAAAACATTTTACAAATCATGTAGGGGTAAACCATAACACTGGTGTAAACATGCATCATGGTTGGTTTCTCTATAAAAAGAGCATCAGAGAGGCTCTTAACTTTCAGGACCTCAGATTGAAATTTTCTTGACAGTCTGAGGGAGTTGGAAATCATCCAGGGCTTGTGCACACCATATTCATGAGCTGCTTTTTTTTTCGGCATGCCACCACCACATGTATGGCATGGACAGGGCATATAGAATACAATTTTTTTTTTTTTTATGTGCCCTTCTCACACCATACATGTACGGTGGTGTGCTCAAAAACAAAGCTGAACTTAAATGGTGCAAAACAAGTGCTCACCCATCTGTGTGTGTGTAAAAGTTCAGTATGAGCTGCTGAGCACTATAAACAGGCTTTTGAAGCCTAGGATGGCAGCTGTTGGCTGGATTTGAATTATATTCCTTTTCTTTTCCCCCCCCCCCTCCTCCTGGCCAAAGTGCCACACCTGGAACAACTAGATGGCTAAATATACTTGCCTGGCCTGCTATATTACTAATTTAGTAGCCGGCTGGTGAAACTATGAAGTTGTTGGCTGATTAGGATGGTTTTAGGTAATTTTTAGTAGTTTTATTTATTGCTCCACACAAAATGATGTAACAGTTATAGTAGGCACTCAAAGGGCTTTCTCAGGTGAACAAGATTGACAGTATAATAGATTTATTACATCTTTTCGAGGAGGCATAAACCACCTTTCTCAAAGGCCTTTAGAGGCAAGCTGCGGCTTGCTGAAACAGTGCAACAAAGCTATACTACCGTCGGCCTTGTTAACCTGTGGAAGCCCTTTGATTGCCCACTGTAACAACTGCGCTAGAGAGAATTTTTTTTTTTCAAATATAGTCAGAAAAATCCTATTTTTCCTTTTTCTTAGCCCCATCCTATAGGGCAAGCTTAAAGCTTTATCTACACTGGGCTTAACCAAAAAAAGGCTTTTACAGGCACTTGGCTGGTTTTTGTTTTTTGTTTTTTTTTCTTTCTTAAGTAGCCTGTAAAAGCACCTTTTGTTAGCTTATGTGTTCCTAGAAATAGGCGTTTACAGGCGTATCAGGAGAGGAACATTTAGAGGCTGAAAAAAAAAATTCAAAGCACATTCAGGAGGGGAGCCGAATAGAATAAAACGCTAAGTGCATGTAAACTTGCCTAAACACTAGATGCTTTTAGGTGCATTTGAGTGCCATTGGATTCCATTGTTAAGAATATTCATTTATTCTGCCTACTGGAATGCATTAACGCTTGATGCGCCTAAATGCGTGTGCAATACACACAACTTTTTTCTCTGCGAGGAGTTCTGGTAATTAGAGGAGCAAGGTATATGCCCGGTGCTTGAGGCCTTAGGCTTCCAAAGATTAAAGTAGATCTCCAGCTGCACAGCTAAAGATTATATGTAAATTACTGTATAATGTGCTAAACTGTGTTGTATGTCTGTTCAGCCAATGTTGTGATTCACACACATCCAGAACACTACAATAGGATTACACCAGTATTTCCTGTTGCAGCTCTGCCCTTCCCCATTACCTGGCTGCTTATAGCTAGTGAGCATAACCGCACTGTTGAGGGTCCTCAGTGTTCTTTAAACTGCCATAAGTCGTGTCAGTCTACTGCTAGTGACTGCAAACAAGATAGACTGACCGCACTGTGATTTTCAGTAGGAACAAATTATCTTACTGGCCACAACTTCCCAGCACAGGTAGCCTTTTGATACACACTAAATATCTGTTTTCTTGAATGTACAATTGGGTTAAGTGTGTGTTCTGTTCTAAGTGTACATTGCTCAATTTTATGGGGCTGGGACCTGTAGTTGCTGCAATAAATTATCACTGTGCTTTATTTATGCAGCTCTGTCCACACCACACACTACCTGTACTAAGTAGCATTCTTTTTATGCCTGCTTCTCCTCCTTTCCCTCTTCATTGCACACTATTGGCTTCAGAGTGTTGAAATCCTATTGGTATGTATCGCTTGTACACTGTGCAGGTTTTTCATATATTCCCCTTATACCAGATCTCCCTTCTATATATTTTGCATCCTCACATTTTTTATTTTAAACAGTCCATGGAACATGCATTTTTTGTTTTTTGTTTTTTTTTTTTTGTTTTTTTTTTTGTAAATCTGCTGCCAGAGACTAACTTCACATTCCTGATTCCAACCACTGACACCCATTGCATGAATTCATCATTTTGGATACTTGCATGATTCTATATGGTTTTATGCCTCACCAATGTCTTGTTCTTTTTGCAGTGAGGAAGGAAAACTGTCTACCTCTAATGACCCAGCTTGTAAATATGTTGTGGAGAGCTTTGATTCCTCTATGGAAAACCCTCCAGTTTCTCAGCCAAACAGTAGCAACCAAGAACAGAAGTAAGTTGATGGATACTGGTAAGCAGGCGTGACTAAAAATGTGCCTGAGCTTAAAACAGTAAACTTGAAGCTGTGAAGTTAAGGGGAGGATGGACACTTTCCTTGTTCCAGTAATGAGCAGTTTATAAACTGCCCCCCCTTTTTTTTTTAAGCAGTGTATGTGGTCGACCTAAGGTTAAAACAGACGTCTGAGGAGATCTAAACCAAATCTGGGTATACACGTTCAGTTTTTTTTGTGTTTTTTTTTTTTTTTCATTCAACCGTTGGGTTGAACGAATAAAACTGACAGATCCGGCATCGCTTGTCTCCCACTGTGCTCCTAAAGTCTGACGGGGGACCATTGGCTGCAAGCACTGATCAAATGCAGGGTTTTCCTACAAGACCGTTTGTTTTACCGACCAGCTTCTGTCAGACAACCATACACATATATCCAAAGTCAGCCTGTGCCTGCTGAAAAAGCCAACTTTTGGTATGTATGTACCAAGCTTAAGAAATCTAAGCTTTGTCCACCTTTTCAGTGCCTCTGCTGGTCACTGAAGCACAGAATCAGGCCAAAAAGTAGATTTCTTAGCTGAAGCTGGTATTTGCTAGCAGGATGTGAATGCATTTCAGAAAGCAGTGTTATGCAGTTTACATGAAGGGTCAGTACAGGTATACGTTTAAGGCCTAGTACTATGTGCCTACAGGGTTTACCACTCCCAGCATTCACAGTTTATCTGAGATGTGTTGAACAGCTTAGGGGGCCATTCAGACTATGCTTTGTGATAACACCTGTGCATTAAGGTAATGTATTAATCACAGGAGCTATTGATCCCTTCATACAGTCTTGTATTCTCTAATGTAAAGACAGAGCAAAAGCTCAGGGAGAGGGAGCAGGGGGTGCTGAGCCACCAACTTTGGCGTCACTGCTTCTACTCTAAACCTGAGGATGAATTGTTCCACAATGCTAGGTGAGTAAAGAGAAATCCCAAGGTGGGGTCACCTTTTCCCGTTATGGCAGTCAAATGTAAATTTTCCTGTCACTTTGAAGAAATTCCCAATACTTTGTCATCTGGTCTCTTAGCCCCATTTTTCCTCACTTATGTCCTAGTTACAGATCATTGCAAATCTAATCAACAAAATACTCTAGTACAGTGAAGGAGGAACCTCACGTGCGCATTGAGGATCTTTGATGCTACCACCCAGAATGACCCCCCCAAATCTGCAACAGAGTATATCCATCCATAGGAGCTTTTCTCCTCTCCTCTTTTCAGTGTTTTATTTTTGAGATTTTTTTTTTCAACTGTTCAAGGCCAGGTATCATAGATCTGGGTAGGTCCCCCAGGATCACCTGCACATGCTGTCCCCACCTGGCAGGAGCTCACCCCCTTAAACAATGACATTTGACGTTTTCTCCCATCGTGGCCCTGTATATTGATGATTACACCCGAATAATGTAAACCAATCCGATGGATATACACTAAGTCCAAGGATAGGCTCCGTGAGTAATTATGTTTTTGGTGCATCTTTTCTCCCACTGGGTTTTGCAGCCTTCCATTGGGACTTGCCCTGCACATCCAACCTCCAAAAAAGTTGGACGCTTTTGAAGAAAAACCGAATGCAATGATTTTCAAATCTCATAAGCCCATATTTTTTTCTCAATTGAAATAGAAAATCCCTAGGAAATGTTTTTTAAGGGAAAAATAGGTTTAATTTTGAAAGAATGCCAGCAATATGCAAAGCTGGGACAGGGCATGTTTACCAAGTGTTGCATTACCCTCTTGTTTTAACACTCTGTAAATGTCTGGGAACAGGAGACCAGTTCATGGAGTTAGTAGAGAAATGTTGTCCCATTCTTGCCTGAATGTGATTCAAACTGCTCCACATCCAGAGGTTATCTTTGTTGTATTTTTCATGCACCAAATATTTATAGTTAGTTAAATGTCTGGACAACCTGTATAAGTAGATAATGCACGTAGGAAGTCAAATAAGAACATGTTAAAATAAGATTTATTCTCTTGAACTCAGTCCATATTCCGAATACATGTTCAAAGATAATCGTGACTCTTGTGATCTCGTGATTGTACACTAACCAGATAGCGCCATGGAGCAATTAGTGACCCGCTCCTGGTGCTGGACTTGTATGCAGGTGGGCACCAGATGTCATGTCAATATTGGTAAGTTCCACCAGAAAGATCATCAGCGGGGGAGGGGGTGATCACACATCATTCCCCAAATAAACGGAACCTTCAAAAGCGGGCTCCCATGCATAGATGAGGCTTCTGTTGAAGTATATCTAAGCAAAACTTACAGCACGTACAGTTTAGGGATAAACTTACACATCCAACACAGAGTCGGACAGCCTTGTGTATGGATACACAGGTGCAGGGGCACCTCCCTAAACACTTCCTCTGAGGAAGTGTTATTCACACGAAACGCTGGTTAGGGAGGTGCCCCTGACCTTGTATCCATACCACAATCCTGACTGACACCCTGGTGGCCAGACTCTGTTTTGGATGTAAGTTTTAAACTGTATGCTGTAAGTTTTGCTTATTAAAGATATACTTCACTATCAGAAGCCTTTTCTCATCTATTGCATGGGAGCCCGCTGTTCCGTTTATTTTGGGAATGATGTGATCACCCCCTCCCCCGCTGATGATCTTTCTGGTGGATGAACCTAAAAAATGACATCTGGTGGCCCACCTGCAGATGACATCCTCTAAATCACTCCAGAGCACCAGGAGCGGGTCTTAATTGCTCCATGCGCATCTCTTGCGCTATCTGGTTAGTGCATTATTTGTACAATCACGAGATCACAAGAGTCACGATTATCTTTTGAACATGGATTATTCGGACAATTGCACCTATCACTTTATCTCACCATGCAATATGGACTGAGTTCTTTTACATAAGTTATTATGCTATTCATGTTCTGATTTTCCGCTTGCAGTTAAGCACCTGACTTTTCTACTACGAAGACATGTTGTTCACATAGATGCAGTATGTGGTTTAGCATTGTGCTGCTGAAATGTGAAAGACTTAACCTAAAAAAGACATCTGGTTTGGAGCATATACTGCTCTAAATCCTGGATATATTTCAGCACTGCTGGTGCCTTTTCAGATGGGCAAACTGCTCATTCCACACACACTAATGCACCCTGATACCATCAGAGATGTAGGATTTTCAACTGAGTGCTGATAAGAAACCTGAAGGTTCTCTTTAGTTCAGAGGATCCAGTGCCCAAGGTTGTCAAAAAGAATGTCGTGGTTTTTTTTTAAAATTTGTCTATCCAGAGTGTTTTGCACTTTGCATCCGACCATTTTAAATGAGCTTTTTCCCAGAGAAGAAGTTTCTGGGTCATGTTCAGATACAGCTTCTTCATTGTATGATAGAGCTTTAACTTGCGCATAGTGATTTTTGGAATTATTCCTGAGCCCATGCAGTGATGTCCATGACAGAATGCCTGTTTTTAATGCAGTGCTCTTCTGAAGGCCCAGCAATCACAGGCTTGCAATGCTGCCTTTCGACCAGGTCCCTTGCGCACAGAAATCTCTCCAGATTCTCAGTATCTTATGATATTTTGTACTGTAGATGACTATATATTTAGAATGTTCAGGAACATTCTGAAATTATTCGATAATTTTTAGATGAAGTTTTTCACAGATTGGTGTACCTCTGTCCATCTTTAAAATGCTTTTTATACCCAATCATTTATTTACTACAGGTACTTGTATAGTGCTGGTCAATTTACACGCAGCGCTTTACATATATTGTATGTTCACATCAGTCCCTGCCCTCAAGGGGTGTACAATCTAAGGTCCCTAACTCACATTTATACACATTCTAGGGCTAATTTAGACAGAACAATTAACCTGCCAGTATGTCTTTGGAATGTGAGAGGAAGCCACAGTACCCGGAGTAAACCCATGCAGCCACAGGGAGAACATGGAAACTCCAGCAGGTGGCAGGTGGTGCCATGGTTGGAATTTGAGGCAACAACCCTTGTGCTACTAGGCAGAAGTGCTAACCACTTGGCCACTGTGCTGCCCAATTAACCTAATTAGTTGCAGTATATTCTTCCAGGTCTTCCTTGTTAGTACCAGTTACTTTGCCAGCTTTTCATCACCCTGTTCCCACCTTTAACGTGTTGCTGCCATCAGTTTTAAATTTACTTTATTTTTTTTCTTAAAATGTTACATTTTCTCAGTTTTGAAACATTTTGATATATTTTCTTTTCTTTTTTTTTTTATTGGGAATAAAAAATGGATTTATGAGATTTGCAAATCATTGCATTCTGTTTTTATGTATATTTTACGTAGCGTCCTAACTTTTTTGGAATTGGGGATGTAGTTGTACTAGGTCAGTGGTGGGCAACCTTTTTTTTCAACTGAGCCAAATCTCGCCAAAACCACGATTTGAAATTTATTTTGAGAGCCACATTTTTAAAACTGAAAATACATAGGATGGTACACTGTTTTTAGTTTCAATAAGTTTTTATAGTAATTCCTCCCCCATATAGTAATTCCTCCCGCATATAGTAATTCCTCCCCCATATAGTAATTCCTCCCCCATATAGTAATTCCTCCCCCATATAGTAATTCCTCCCCCATATAGTAGTAGTAAGTAAGCAGCAAGTAGTAAGCCAAGTCCCTCCTGTGTCAATTCACTTACCTTTGCTCCGCGCTTTCCTCTCGCCGTGTTCCCCGCGCCGTTCCGGTCTTCAGGGCGGACTGTGAGAGGAGCCTAGCTCCCCTCACGTTCGTCACGCTGCCCCGCCTACACACATCCTGACAGCCAATCACTAGCTATCAGGATGTGAGTGGCAGCGAGACTGGCCAATCATTGCTGCAGAGTCCTCGGCCGCCCGAGAGGAGGGAGGGGAGCGGGCTCCGGGACACAGAAGAGCCGCATTAAAATGTGTGAAGAGCCGCATGTGGCTCGCAAGCCGCGGCTTGCCGACCACTGTACTAGGTGATGACACTGTTTATTGGGACATTTACCTTTTCTCGTACTGGTATGTGACTCTCTCTGATGGGCTGTGTTCTTTTTTTACACCAGCACTTCTGGAGCAGTTTTCCCTCACAGAGCCACATGTCTTCCATTATAGGCTGTGTCCTGCATAGTACACAGTGCCAGGGGAGGGGGTGTGTACAAAGGGGGGCAGAGCCTCGGCCTTAGTTTTCTCTGCTTCCTGTGCTGTTTTACCGCTGCTTTGGATTCCTGAAAGGGGCAGTCCCCACACATCACTAATCTGCCAGTCGCCGGAGGTCTCTCACCAGATCACTGTGAAGCAGGACCACTCCTTGCATAAGTCACTACACAGATGAAAGAGCCCACACTTCTCGTCCTGCCAGCCTGGGCTCTGAGGTGGGCAAAAATGGAGCAGTGCCTTCCTCTCTGCTGTCAGGCATACCAGCTTGGTCTGCATTGCCTAAGTGGCTTCTCAGGAACATGCCCAGTCTATGCATGAGTGAACACAGCCACCTGCTCCACTTTTAGATGCTGGTGGCAGCCTAAGGGGTGAGTCTCTACCCCTGCTGGACCTAGGGGTTGTTGCTCCAGAGTCAGGAGCTCTTCCTTTTCTTGTCCTTACTACAGCAGACCAGTACATGTTGGTGGGGTGCTTCTCTGTGAGGAGCAGCCTCAGTCCCTGGGTTGCTTACTGTTCTTGATCACAGTGGAATTGTCTGTTGCCACCGTAGGGGATTGCAATGGGCTCAAGATGGTGCACAGCGCTGCACCAATACACTGATTCAGCGCCATCTCTTCAGCAAGTAAATGGTGCCCCACTATTCCCCCAGTTGGCCTCTGATCAGCTTATCCTTTTCTATGGGAACTGCACTGCACCATGCTGATGATTTGGCAAATCGTCTGTGTGCCATCTTTTTTGGGGTTATGGGGGCCGCCATCTCCATTGCTGGTCTTTATTATTTTTTTTTTTTTCATAGCTTGCAGGCATGTAGTGGCCTGTAGCAGGATTCCCTCAGGGGAATCCAAGGCTGCAACACACGTTGTATAGAGGCTCTGGATTTATAAGACTTGGTCACATCCAGCCTAGCCAGTCTGTCTACCTTTTGCATTTTTTTTTTCTGTAGACAAGCAATTTGGGGTAGCGTATTGACTAAAGGAAATCTAAACCTACAATAGTGGATACTATCCTTTTTCCCAACTGAATAAGGCCACCATCATCTTGTCCAAAGAGTATGCACCTGTCTGAGTCCCGAAAAGGATAGTACAGCTTGTTCTGTGTATGTGGTTTTTGGGAGCCCTTATTTGTTCAGGCTTTTCCTCTGCTTAATGGAAAGCCTGGCTTTGAGTCGGGTCCCCCTTTGCTTGTTTGAGCTGTTGGTCTTGGGAAAAGACAGGTCTCCCTACAATATCCTGAAACTTCATGCAATCTGTCCTCTCTCATAGGTGGCCAGGTTGTATACCCTTGTGAAGATGCATTGGATGCCCTAGTTCCTCCAAGGCGCAAGTACCCCCAAATATTTGCCTTTCCACCTCAAGCTTCTTCCCCAGATGCTACCAAGAATAGAGCGGGAAAGCATTCCTTTTATGCCTGTGGCTCTCGTCTAGCCATGTAGGGGCCTGGTTTACAGTTTTTTCATTTGGTTGCTTTCAGGTTAATCATAGCTTCTCCTGATCTCCCGATCTCCCTCAGGTCCTTTTTTACGATAGTCTGATCTTCCACCCTGCTTTTTATAATGGTTTAACGGCCTTGCTGTTGAAAGTCAAGTGCTGAAGGAGGTCTGTCTTCAGCCTTTATTTTCACAGTGTTTACAGCCCAGAAGTCCACTTCTCGTTTCGGCTATCATCACACCTGATGGGCCTTATTTGCTTCTGTGAATCACTGGGGGTTCATCCCTGTGAGTTTTTAATTTCCTTCATATCCTAGCATGTCTTCAAAACGTATATGGAGCGTCGTTGGTCCTCAGTATTGTGAAGGGCCTGTTTTCTGCCTTGGCTGTCCTCAAGTCTCTTGGCTTCTTCCTAAATCATACTTTTATCCAGGGGGTCACACAGTTCCCCCTTCTAGGCCCCTTTTTCTACTATGGGACTTGAATCTTGTCCTGTCGGCCTTGCTTTGAAAATATCTGAGATGGTTCTCTCTCATCTCTATCTCCAAAAGGTGGCCTTCTTGGTGGCTATCTTTTTCATGTTTAGTATCTTACCTTGTGGCTTTTTCCTGTAAGCAACCATTTTTGGTGCTACACAAGGGCAAGGTGTCCTAAGCTTTCCTTTTCTGCTGAAGCAGTGATGTGTTTTTCACCTAAACAAAGATATCCTTTTGCCTTCCTTTTGATCCACATCCCCCTCATCTGAGAAAAGTTGCTCTCCATTGCCTGGATGTGATAAGTCATTAGCTTCTAGCTCTGTTACAGCTGCTGCCATTCAGTGGTCTGTCTTCATTGTTCAGCTGGTCCTAGACAAGGACAAGCAATTTTTCTTTCACATTTTCTAGATGGTTTCATGAAATGTTAAGCCTATGCCGTCAGGCTGAAATCCTCTCTTCCCATTTGTTGTGCATTCTACCAGGGCGTTTTCATCTTTCTACCTCTGTTCCGGTTTTTATATGGCTACCTGGTTATCTGTTCGTTCTCTTAGCAAGTTCTACAATTTCACAATGCTGCCTTGGTAGAGCCAGTTTTGGTTGGAAAGTTTTGTAGGCAGCAGGATTACTTTCTGCTGGGGGTAATTCCTCATTCTGCTAAAGGTGGTCTCTCTGGCACTGCCTTGGAGCATCCATTCTTCATGAAGATAAGCGGAGTCCTTCAATGAACAAATGAGAAAATGAGATTTTTGTACTCACTGTAAAATGCAGTTCATTAAAGGACACCGCAACCACCTAGACTCCTTTTTTGACTGCCTGCTCGCTACTAATGTAATTGTGTAGCAAATGGAGGAGGGGGGGGGGGGTGTTGGTCACCTCCAGAGGCATGCTATTAATTTGGTTGCTTGCATCTAGCATCTCTTCCTGAAGGTGGCTGCATCAAACCCAATCCTTTTATGAAGATAAGCTGTGTCCTTTAATGAACTCAGAGAGTGGATTTTACGGGGAGTACAAAAATCCCATTTATGCTCTTCTTATTATTCCACAAACTCTTTCAATGTACGGGTGAAACTTGAAAAATTAGAATATCGTGCAAAAGTTCATTTATTTCAGTAATGCAACTTAAAAGGTGAAACTAATATGAGATACTCATTGCATGCAGAGCAAGATAGTTCAAGCCGTGATTTGTCATAATTGTGACAAATCACAGCAGTTTTTCCCATGATTGTGATTCCTACTGAACCAGACTGAGAGACCATTTAAAGGCTCAGGAACCCTTTGCAGGTGTTATGGCTTAATTAGCTGATTAGAAAGGGACACTTTGAGCCTAGAATATTGCACCTTTTCACAATATTCTAATTTTCTGAGATTGTGGATTTTGGGTTTTCATGAGCTGTAAGCCATAATCATCACAATTATGACAAATCACGGCTTGAACTATCTTGCTTTGCATGTAATGAGTCTATCTCATATATTTGTTTCACCTTTTAAGTTGCATTACTGAAATAAATGAACTTTTGCACGATATTCTAATTTTTCGCGTTTCACCTGTATTGCTGTCTCATTGGTAAGGGGAAATTTCTTTACTAGGGACAAAGGGTTCTAACCTTTCAACTATCTAAAAAGGTTTGAGCTGGAGTTTGTTTAATTTTAGATCTATTTTTACTAGTACCCTTCAGTGTTTTCTGATTACCTGCTTGCACTATCTGAATTCTTTTTTTTGTTTACCCAATTGGAAATTGCTTGCACTCATGTTTTCTAATTTGTTTTTTCTTCTAGTTCAACTAACCGATTTATAATATATATATATATTTTTTTTTTTAATGGCTTCTATAGGACACCAGAGCAAATTCTTCTAGACGGAGCTCCTGCAAATGGCCCAGTATGATGTGCAATGCCTATTGTTAGTGGAAGATTGCAGACTGATATCCGTTGGGATTCTAAGTGGTGTTACTTGAGGATATTGGCAAAGGCCTGCCGGCGCCAGTCACTGCTGCACTAACTTTGCAAGGGATCAGGACCAGCAACATTTTATTTTTTTTTCTTAGGTTTTAAGGTGTTGTACAGACTTGAAAGTGTAAAAAAAAAATATTGCACATTGCAAAACAAGACTTTTTGTGTATGTTTATATTGTATTGTATTCTAAACAAAACCGGTGCCCTATGACTTAAGAACTCACCACTTCAGTAATAGTGATACTATGGTTAAAATGGTTGTAAAAATAGTTTTATAAAGTGTATACAAAAAAATCTAATGTATTTGAAAGCATAACTATTTGACAATTAGTGTGACCAAAGTATTTACCAGTTCATGCATTTAACTTTATTTTTTGTTCCACATTGTACAATAGTCAGTTTTTCTCTCAAAAATATTCTTTGATAGAACTCTTCCTGTAAATGTAATAATTGTATTTAGGTTACCAAAAGCGATCCAAATATGGGTATTTTTTGTTCCAGTGTTTCAAATTTTGCAGCAAATTTATCTGGTTATCCATTGCTGTAATTTTAATTTTAATTTTTTTTTCTATTCAACTCAAATGTTTATTGGTAGATTTAAGTATTTATTACTACAATTGACAGATTGTTATTGTAAAGCCATATGTTCTGTCTTGGTTTGCGCAAATCACAGGTGAAAAGTTTCAATACCTTGAAATTTGCTCACCTGCCAATTTTTCATTTGGGTTTTTTTAATACATGTTTTTAGATTTTAATTTTATGCTGCTCCCATATGACAGCAGGGAAAGCATTTTATCATACATTTTTAATATTCAGATCAAACATAAATTTGCATGTCAGGTGTTTTCTGTGCCGATCTGTGAATTATTTTTATATACAAGTTAAAAACCAGTTATTTTAATTTTTTTTTTTTTTTGTCCAAAACTGGTTGTACATAGGTAGTGATTACAAAAAAAAGCTAATTCTATGTAATTTATAATGTTTCTATATTCCTCCAGTTCGCCTTCTTGAAGCAGGAAAAGCAATGTTCTGTTCCCAGTCTGACACAAGCGTTGCCCACCTCTTGCACATCTTTTTTTGTAGATGTAAATCTAATTTTCTGAATAGATTCTTATTGGTTGTGAGACCTCTCCTAGACAGGTATTTTGAGAGAAAAAGACTCTACACAGAGGCCAACAAGTTTTAGGCGTAGTCTCCCATGCAACGTGCCTAAGCATTACATTGCATATTACAATAAAAAGGAAAATATGCTTTTTTTTTTTTTTCTGGGTGTCTTTTACCTTGTTTAGTTTGATTCACATTATTTCTAAAAGCTTGTTTGAAGCTAAACTCTAGCTCTACCTCCTTAAAGCATACCTAAATGTGAGAACAAACGTTAGAATGTGTACAGTAACTGAAGGCAAAATTTTTTTTCTTTTTAATTTTAGAAAGTGGAAATGGATTGTAATGCCTCATGTTTTTGTTTCTTTGTTAGGGAGATTCACCTTCTTGTCCTGGTGACCATTAAAACCAAAAGTGAATTAAAGAAAACCCCTAATATTGAGTGGCAACCAGAACAGGAATTGAGAAATCTTTGAATTGTGGCACTGCTTTCTGGTGAATCAGGGACTTCCCCCACTTTGGATTTTTTTGTGTTTTTTTTTGTGTTTTTTTTGTCACATAGAGATTCTCTTTCACTCCATGATGGGTTATAACCCTTCCTTATGCTATCCATCCAAAATTGTAAAGTCTTGCCTACAGTTCTATGCTTAATCATCTATTGAGGAACACGTGCTCATGAGTTATCCTGCCACATTCAGAAGAATTTGCCACATTCAGAAGAACTTAAAAAAAAAAAAAAAAAAAAAGGTAATAAAAAGAAAAAAAAATTTTTTTTTTCATCCTGGAGGTGGTTTGAGTAGCATATACTGCCTTTTTATTTATTTTTGCTCATTCACTACAGAGCCAATAGAGCTCAGCATGCATTTTATTTGGCCAGGTGGAAGATGTGGGGCTGGACTGTAATTTGACATTAAGGCATTGGCTTTTGGCACTTTCAGAACACCTAGTGATCTGTGGGTGTTAACGACCAAGAGCTTTTACAGGTCCAGGGGTGTGGTACACCTGTCTATGTAAGCCTGTCCCTGAAAACTCCTTTTGAGGTATGCCCACTGGAGAGTTAAAACTGTTTGGAGATACTGAACCAATAGTTACATTCCAGACAGCCAATTTCTGCCTCCTGAATCTCTTGCAGGTTAATAATTTCATGTGCTCTGACACTCCATTGTCACCAGCGGTTTATGGGGTTTCCATTGGAATGGTCTTCACGGGACTGAGAGTGAGCTCTTTGGTTTGCAGCAGGTGTTTTTATTCTGGGTCACAATCCTGTGCAATGTCCTTTTTGTCTCTTTCGGTCAAGTAACAATGTTGACTGCACTTATGCTTATCAGACGATGTTTTTCTGGAAAGTCACCAGTAGTCATCCCAGTCTGGCTAGTAAATGCACGTAGACCTTTAGCTATATTCTGAGTTTGTTACAACAGCCCCATTCATGCCCGGGGAGGCTGGCGAGTAAAATGTCTTGTGGCACCTATGACAGTGCTGCCATGGCTAACAGCCCCTGCAACCTTAGTTTGTGGCAGATATGTCTTGGGAGTGTTACCTGCAACCATCGTGGATCAGTTAGTAGATGCCTCCCTCCCTGGCCACAATGCTGGGTGTGGTTACTCCCTGAGGTTGTTGGCCCTGCAGGATTTTCCTTCACCTCTCTAGGCCTGTCTTCTGCCCATTTAGATAAATTTGTTTACAAGGCTTGGGTAATCCTGAAGCGTCCCTTTGTGATCCCAAAACGCTTCTTGGCTTGTGATCTCAAAACGCTTCTTGGCTTGTTTTCCCTTTGAGGAGCCCCTTCTAAAGGATTGAACTTCCCTCCTGTTGTGGATCCTCCCATCTCGCTGTTGAAAAAGAGAGCGTTCTTCACCTTTTAAGGTTCCTGCAGACAGGAAGACCGAAGCTGTTGCCCACACCATGTTTACTACTGCTGGCTTGGCTGCGTCCGTTTTTGGCCTTGGCCCTTGTATCCCAAATGCTTACTGAGTGGGCTAAGATCTTAGACCGTGCTTCAGGTAAAGATCAGGTGTCCCTGACCTATGTGGAACTGGTGGACCTGCTGGGCCTGAGCCTTAAGTATGCGTGTGAGGCTTCCCCATTGCTTTCAAAGTGTTCTGTCTTTGCAATGGTGCTTTGTTGAGTGCTCTGGCTCAAATGTTGGTCTGCAGACCACCCTGGAAAGGGAGGCCCACCAGATGTGTGAATTGATCTTTGGTGCTACTCTGAATGACAGCATTAAGAATCTCACTGGAGAAGGGGAAGTAGAAGAGTACCTTCCTGCCACGGTCTAATAGTGGGTAGGGGCCATACCATAAGAAAGGCCCTTCCTTCTCCACGCACATGAGGCTTTTTCATCCCTCTTGAACAAAGTATCCAAGCTCTTCAAGGCTCCTGCAGGTGCCACAAGGTGCACCTGGGCTCAAGCCTATGGGCAAGTTGTCCTAGCTGTAGACGCTTGCCCCACCTGTTTCCAATGTGCAGGGGCTGTCTTGGTTCTCAGGCCTGTGGACCTCCATACCAACACTCTGACAAATGGTCTGCTAACTGATTGTGTCCACCTACAAGATGAATTTCTTTCCAATGCCCAGAAAAGTTCTTTCTCTTCAGCACAGGAGGTGATTGCCCTTGTTCCAGTCTCAGAAATTTTGGGTGTTTTACTCCATCCTGTTTACAGTCCCTAAGTAGGAAGGAGTTTCTTTGGAATCCCCCCCAATGAAGGGAGGTTACCACCAAATGGATGATTTCCTGGTCTTCACAGACATCAAGGAATGCATACCTGCAAATTCCCATATGTGCTGAGCATCAACTCTTCTTTGGTAATGCACATCCCTGACCGCAAGTCCTGTTTGTGGTGCTCCCTTTTGGCCTGGCCTTCGGCTGTTTTTTTTTTTTTTTTTTTTTTTTTTTTTTCCTCTCCCCAAGGTGCTGGCTTTCGTCCAGGCGTGGTCTCCTCCAAGAAGACACCCATTCTGTGCTGATGGACAAAGTGGTGAATATGATGCGCACCCTGCGTGACTTTAAATGTATCCTGAACCTCAAGAAGTCTGCTTTGACCCTGACCAGGAGAATTGAGTGCCTGGGTCTGATCCTCCGCTCAGTGTAGTCCAACGTGTTCCTACTGGACAAGCTCCGGAAGCGTCAGTTGGTGTTTCGGCTATTGTTGTCCTGCCCGCGGGCTTCCCTGCATGCAGATTCTGGATCTTGTGATGTCTTCCTTCAAGGTGGTCCTGTATGTGCAGCTCCATATGAGGGGTCTGCAGAAAGTCTCCCCTGTTCTAAGATAATCAGATTTGGCTGGCCCTGGAGATCCAGGTCTCAGGTCTGGTGGCTCCAGTCCCCCTCACTTCTGGCTGGGAATCCATTTCTCCCACTACATTGGGCGGTGACTAATATGGATGCCAGACTGTCCGGCTGGGGGAGTCCCGAGGTCAGCCTTTGCTCTCTGGAGGAGGAGGCTTGACTACTGGGGCAACCAGAATATGTCTGGAGCAGTGGACAGAGCTTTGTTGCGGTCTCCCGGTCAGGATTCAGTCACACAGTGCCATTGTGGTTGCCTTTGGCAATCATCAAGGCAGCATGAATAGTGTGACAGTGATGCTGGAGGACTCCAGAATCCTCTGATGCTCTGGCAGCACTGTGGAGCCAGTATTGCCTCATTTATGCTTTTCCTCCTCAAGCTTCTCCCTCATCTGCTGTGCAGGATAGAGGCCAAAGGGATTCTGGTGGCCCCAGACTAAACTTGTCCCCCTGGTACACTGACGTGGTGCAACTGGTGGTGTCTTGCTGGATGCCCCTACGAGAAGATCTTCTGTCCTAAGGGCAGATCTTCCACCCTGCTTTACAG